TTTATGAAATGATTGAATTATGAAAGGTTATTTAGATTGTATATTGAAATATAAAGTCATCTTGTTGTAACCAGAGACAAAATGGTTTATTTTAAGCATGAATACAATATGCGAGTCGTTGCCATAAAGGTGCATTTGCACATACAAATTGCCACGAAAATTCCAGTAAACGTTTCAAGTTTCAAGTTTTATTAAATATATCTCAGTATGTAATATACATAGACATGAGAACAAATTCTAATAATACACGTAATCACAGAGGACAACTTTTATTTAAGATCTTGAAGGAATTTATACGAAAGTGAAAAAAAAATCTATTCCGTAATTAATGATATTGATACCAGTCCATTCTAGTCATACTCATGGATTTTAATAATGCGCGACCCGGTCTGTAGATATTTTAATCAGGTTATTTGATTGGTCGATTGATTTACACACCGTGTAAACCCATTAATTATGTCATGTAGGTCAGTCAGGTTATGCAGAAATTGTGTCATTGTGTCAGGATGAGGTTAATATCATGGAAAACGTGGATTTTGTCTGTCTCGGACTTAATCACACGTAATCTGATTAAGGATAGAAGTTGACATCTTCGTACTGGGTTATTAAATGTTGTCTGGGGTCTGTGGAAACTGGCAATAATTCATTTTTGGAATAAATGTGAATCAGTGAACTGTGTCATTTTGAAATTTATTTGATGGATTATTTATAAGAGGGTCCGATTATAAGATGCTCACAATCTCCTGTTGGCATGCATAACAACTGTAGAAATAGGTAAGTGAATTTTATTTTTATTTATTATTTTTGTTGAGTTGTTTACACGTATAGGGATTGTGCATGCCGTCTAATTTGGTGAACAGGCCACTATGTACAGTCCTTTAAACGAAAGCGAAATTTGAAGGGCTGCTGAACTGGCAGTTTTCTTGTCAACAATATGGATTTTAAATCTAGTGAGCGCGAATTTTCAATTGAAATGCATTTTCCAAACTACAGTAAATATTTGTTAACATTGAAAATGAATATTTCCTTCAAGTTTTTAAACAAACTTTGTCCTGTACAATATAAATGCATGTTAGTGACAGCAAAAAAAATATATATATCCGAAGTATTATGGAAAATTAAATGGTAAAGAATTGTATAAATATTTTCTAAGTTAGTCATAATATTTAGATCTATTTACTTAGAAGATTGAACAATACAGTAGTTACAATAGAGTGCATAAAAAATGTTAACAGCAATATGCAAAATGATTCCATATGTTTGAATTGTTCTATTATAAAAAGATTTTCCGAAAATTTTAGCATCATCCTTCAAATATTTTACCAACTTACAGTACCTACTGTCTGGTTTATTTATGTATATACAGTATTGAAGTAAGGAACAATCTCAATAGCAAAAATATACATTAAATGAACACATACATTGATATGATTATGTAAAATTAAAATTGTTTATTTGTTTATTCATTCATTTACTCAACTATTCATTTATTCATTAATGTTTCGCACAATATGTCTCATTATGAGATAATAAAAATAGATAAATGTTAAGGATGTTAAACAATAAAGAGTAAAAAAATAAATAAACAAATAAACAAAAACTATCAATAATAGAAAAAATAAACAAACAAACAAAAAATACAAAAAACATACATCCTTATGTGCAAAAAAAAAAAAAAAATTAATTAATTGGTAATAATAATGTATGTGTAAAGAATATACTGCAAATGCAGTAAAATAGCAATAAGGCAAAAAGAAAACAATATAAATGTACATCTGAGTCAGCTTAATGGATACATAGGTCTATAAATTGAGTTTTCAATCTTAATATTATACATATATATGTAAGTTAATAATGTTAATACAATTTATAACTTTACATCATATATTGTACAGTACATTTGACATGTTGATGTATAATATAGTACATACATATACTTCATGTATTATTTATATATAGTAATATGTTAGTTTCTTTGATCTTACTGACTGGGTACATGTATGAAATAAGTACATATAAAATGGTTTATTTTTATTTTCCTATTTATATTACATATCTTATGTCTTAATTTGATTTAGTTGTAATTATCAAACTTCATGTGTAATAAGTTTTTACTGTTTTGGTGATAATTTCAATAAATTTACTCAGTTTAATTAGCTCTATTTTATTTTCAGTATTGAAAAGTTGGTCAAATTTGAGTGTATTGTGGTTGTTGTAGTAGTAGGGCTTTATAAACTTAATTCTACTATCATTAAAGTGATGGCATTCTAAAATATAATGATATTCGTCCCCAATTCCGTGATTACATAGGAAGCAAATTCTTTCATTAATTGGTATATTATGATAGCGACCCACCTCAATGGGACATTTGTGGTTTCTTGTGCGGAATCGTGTTATTACTTGACAGTAATAGTTTGGGATTATTGTAAAGTATTTATTTAGTTGTATGTTATGCTTAATTGTTTTATACATGAAATTTGTGGAGTTATTAACTGTTGAGCTCCAGGTTTGGAAATATTGATCTATAATGTTTCTTTTGAAGGCGAGTGAGAACCATTTAAGATTGACGCTGTCTTGGTTCAACCATATATTGTTAAAACCGTTTGTTTCTATTAGACTTTGAATATAGTCTAACCACTTCGATTTGACTCTTCTTTGGTTTTTGAGGGCTAGTAGAATTTTATATAATTTAGTAGATAGTTTATTGTTGGTATCATTAATATTACTTTTTAATCTACACCAGTATGATATCATTCTAATTTTTGCTTCTTCCTTTAGAGGAATTATTCCAAGTTCACTATAAATCATATAGGATGGTGTTGACATTTTTAAATTGAGGATGTGTTTAAAAAATTTCAATTGTACTTTTTCCAGAGTGTTCATGTTGCTAAAACCAAATAATTCACTACCATAAAGTAGGATTGGCCTAATGGTTTTATTGAATAAGTCTATTTGTATGTCAAAAGATAAATCTAAATGTCTAATTTTCTTTAGTAACATGTACATTGCTTTAGTTGCTTGTTTAGCTATGTGTTCTTTAGTTTTCTTATAGTTACAAGTTTTTGATAAGTATAGTCCCAGATATTTATATTCATTTTCTATTTCTAATTCATCATTGTTAAATTTAAATTTTGGAATATTGTTTCTTAGTCTTGATCCGAAAATAAATATTTTAGTTTTGGATGTATTTACTGTTAGTTTCCAATTTGTACAGTATTGTTCAAATATTTTTAACTCTTGTTGTAGGCCTGTTTCATTATCACTCATCAAAACTGTATCATCAGCATATAGTATAACAAATAGTTTTAGGTAAATTATTGATATGTCTTGTTCATTGTCAATGTTGCAGGTTACTCCCTGTGCATTATTTTCCGATAAAAAGGAGTCAAGGTCATTCAGGTAAATTGAAAATAGTATGGGGGATAAATTTTCTCCTTGCCGGACCCCAATCAAACTTGGGAAAAATTCAGACATACCTTGGGATGTTTTAATACAAGATTTTATATTTTCGTACATACTTTTAATTATTTTTAGAAATTTCCCATTTACGTTATATTTTATCAGTTTTTTCCACAATCCTTGTCGCCAAACAGTATCGAAAGCTTGTTTAAAGTCAATAAATGCACAATAAATTTTCTTTTTTTGGGTCCTTAAAATATCTATTAAACTTTGCAATATAAATAGGTTATCTACAGTGGAGTGGTTTTTTCTGAATCCTGCCTGGCAATTTTTGATTATGTCATTTTCGTCAGTATACTTTGTGATTCTGTTATTTAAAATGGCTGTAAATAATTTTCCTAGGCAGCTTAGTAATGTTATTGGCCTGTAGTTTTCGGGAAGATTTTCATTGCCTTTATTTTTATATATTGGAAGAATAATACCTTTAGTCCAAACTGATGGAATGCAACCAGAGTTAAATATTATATTAAACAATTTTTTATATATAGGGAGCATTTTTTCAAGGGTAACTTTTATATGTTCGTTTAGTATTTTGTCAATTCCAGGGCTTTTATTGTTTTTTAGTGTTTTAACGGCTTTCATTATTTCATCTTCTGTGATTTCGTTATTTATTTCTTCATTAATTTCAATTTGGATATCTTGTTCATCATTTTCAGTTAAGTTTTGGTCACCTTCATTCACTTTCTTAAAAAATTCATATAGGTCTTGTAAATTTGCTGAGCTTTGTTTTTTGGATTTATCTAAAGAGTTTATTATTTTCCAATATTCTTTTGGGTTTGTACCTTTAAGGTTTCTAAGTTTGTCTATTCTAGTATTCCTGTGATATCTGTAAGCATTATGTATACTCTGTTTATATTCTTTACTAATATTTTTAAGCATTGACTTATTTCTATCTGTTTTACTTTTATTATATATTCTTTTTGCTATATGATATTTATTTCTCATTGATTTACAATTTCTATTAAACCATGGTTTCCAATTTTTCTCTTTACCATTGATTTTGTTTTGTTTTATTTTTTCGAATGTTAATGTACATGCAGTGTTAAATAGTTGTTGGACATCGTCAACACATTTATCTATTTGTTCTTGGGAAACACTCTCTTGTTGCCCTAGATTATTTAGGTACTCATTTATGTTTATAATTGTTTGGTTGTCTATATTTTGTGTAAATGACATTTCTTTATTTTTATCCCATAATATTTCATATTCTTCATTATTGTTTTTATCTGCAAAATTATCTTTTGTGTAAGCTGGTTCTACCAGGTTGAGAAAAAGTTCTAATGGGTTGTGTACATCAGAGTACAGGCATGAGAATGGCAAAACATTTAATTCATTGATATATTTGATAAGATTTACACTGCCTATAAAGTAATCAATAGTGCTAGCTCCTCAACAGGTCAGTCCTGGAGAAGTCTTGTCACTATCAATTCTGCCATTTAGAATGAATATATCATTAGCAACACATAGGTCTAGGAGTTGGTAAGCATAACTATTTACTATTTTATCTCGGGTTTTTCTTTTTAAGGGTATATTTAGCAGATTTAGTTCTTGTAATCTATAAACAATTCATTATTACAAAACATGCCAAAAATATATTCATCACATACTATAAAGTCATCTTTATCACCGGTTCTTGAGTTAAAATCTCCCATCAATAAAATGTTTTCCTTATCATATTTGTCTATTTCGCCCTGTATCTCCAAAAATGGGTCAGGGTTCTCGTATTTTGTGCCAATCGGGGGTATGTAGACATTGCCAATATATAATTCTCTTACATTGTCTTCAATTTTGCATGTGAGTTTTAGCCATTGGACCAATTTACTTGTAACATCTAAAATTTCAACTGATGGTTCTATTGTTTGAGAGATGATATATGCAGTACCACCTGACCTATTTTTGGAGGTTTTTTCTCTGTTTGACATATATATGTTGTACCCTTCAATGTTAACTCTATCTAAATCATCCAGTTTACTTTCCTGTATAGCTACAATATCATAGTTCTGTATAAACTGATTAAATTCTGGTATTAGTACTTTTGATTTAAGACCACACACATTCAGTGAGCATAGTTTTATGTTTTTTGTTTTCTGTGATGTTCTAAACCTGTTGTCCTCTAACTTGTCCTATTGCGGTTTTGTATTGTTTTTCTTTTCATTTGGGTTTTTGTGCATTACACTGGTGTTTCCTCTTTCAAAGTTTATAAATTGTACATCCTCACTATCGCTTTCGCTAACATTAATATCTCTGTATTTTTTTGGGTATGGCTCAGCGTCAAGAGGGGATCTTTGACTAGCACTTCTTTTATCTGGCTTCTTTCTAATGGGATCATTTAAAGGTGTGCAAGAGTCTAAACAGTCAAATCTATTTGAGATGGGGGTTGGGACTAATGGTATCTCAGTGATTGGGTCCTTCATTCTACTATTGTATACCATTCTGTATCTTGCATTCTGTGGGTTATTGACATTGGAATTGTATTTGGGCCTTGATTGTCTATTTTCATTGTCAGGCCTCCTTCTGTTTCTGGTTTCAGTATTTGGGTGAAATCTTTCATTGTTTATGTACAACTTATCTCTCACTAACTTTACCTTGTCACCATTTTCTTTTGCCTTTTTAAGCTCTTGGTATAATGGTTTTCTTCTTTCTTGTATCTCTCTTGGGTACTGCTCTCTTACAGCATATTGTGTTTCTTTGAGTTTGTCGTAAGCCATATGCTGTATGTATTCCTTGTCTTTTAGAGACATTAGCTTTATCACTATTGGTCTTGGTTGGATTTGGTACACTGATCTTTTTCCTAGTCTGTAGGCCTTATCAATTTTGATGTTTTTCTTAATATTTAGTTTTTCCTTCATAAAGCATTTTACAGCCCCTTCCGAGTATTCAACAGCGTTTAACCCTGCTTCAATCTCTTCTATTCCAAAAAATAATAGATTTGTTTCCAAAAGTTTACATTGCATTTCTAGAATTGTTTCTGCTTGAGTTTCATTATTTAATTTCAATTGTTCATTTTCTTCTTGTAATTCTAATATTTGTTTTTTATGATCAGTTAGGGCATCCCCTGCATCTCTATTTGATATCATTTGATTGTCAAACATGTCACTATTTGTCTGATAACTAGTTTCTAGTTCTATCATTTTACTGTGTATATCACTTAATTCTGTATTAATGGATGATACCTTCATTGAGTTACTGAGTATTGATTGTTTTAGGTTATTGCTCAAGCCTTTCATGTCACTTTGCTGAGCTTCTACTTTTGCGAGCCTATCGTTTTGAGCTTTCAATGTATGATTAGTAATTCTCCATTCTTCACTTTGTTTTTCTAATTTTGACTCAATACTGTTTAATTTAATATCTAGCTTCTTGTTAATATCTTGAAGTATGCCAGCCAGCCAATGAGGGATTTCATTATTGTACCCAGGTGCCCCAGTATGTGCTTGAGTCTGGTTTCGTGGTTGGGTTTGCATTCTTGGTTGCATTGGGGGCATAACAAATGGTGGAAATGGGGGGTACATCATATACGAGAAGTCGCTATTATTGTTCATAGTATTTTGTGGGAAGTCATTGTAATTGTTCGATTGACTTTGTATATTTGTTGTATTTGCATCCATTTGAGGACTTTGACGATCGTTCACCTCTTGTTGATTATTGGTAGTGGTGGGGTACAACGTCTCCCTTGCCTGTGATAACTGTTTCGTAATACTGTTTTCAGGGGATTGATTGTTCATCTCATTCGTTTCAGTAGCTACATTCATATTATTTTTGTTACTATATAAACGTTCACTAAATAAATACTGTTCACAATGTTCTCTATCATCAATGTCACCAGTGGGTGGGGTATTGTTATTGTTTGGTGTTTTTGTTCGTTTGCTCTTTTTATCTATAATCGCCTTATATGGTTTTTTCTTGGGCATCATACGTGTTTACCTGCATGAAATCATATTATTGTAGTACAATTGGGTTGCTCTGTGCCCTGAATTCTCGATACAAATAATTTTTTATTGACAAATTTTGAATGTGTCCTCCATGATCACGTGACAAAACTTAATCATCTCTCACGTCAACTACTTATTACATAGGTAATTATTTTGTTTTATTAGAAAATTAGAACTGCATTCAATTTTATTAGAAAATTTGCTGGATTATTAAACTCATTTGCATTACAAATTGTCATTTTGATTTTGCATTGGTAAAACGCAAAGTTATCATTAAAAATGCTTTGGCGACAAGTTCAAAAAGTTCAATAATACCAATAAATAAATAGATAAATAAATAAATAGATAAATAAATAAAGGAATAAATAAATGAATAAATAAAGCAAGCAATCAATCAATCAATCAATTAATCAATCAATAGATAAATAAAAATTACAAATTACAAAAACCAACGTAGCTTTGAATGTTTATTGTGCTCAGTTGCAGTTAAGTATAGTTTAGTTTATAATTTTGCAATTGTAGGTAAACTGTAATAAAATGGTGTTATAGTAATCGTATATATCTTTATCAATATCAGAATTTGGCTGTTACGATTTATTAAAAGATATAATCCAAAACGTTTATAAGTTATTCGTAAGTATAAAATTAGATAATAGAGTATACAAGGAGTACTTTATGAAGAAATTAACAATATGTTTTGCAAACTCTCAACTTCAATATAACTAGAAAACACATCTTCACAAATGCATTTTAAATATTGCATCGCCAATTCTTTAGAGACGAAATAAGGGTACTACATATTACTTGTTATAAAAAAATCGAAAACACATTTGAGTTGCAAAGGTTAAACAAAATTTACGTAATGGTCACCTTTCTGAACTTGGATTGGATAGTTTAATTTAACAATTAAGGAAAATGTAAAGTTTATGTAATGACATCATTATAAAACCACATTCTCATTGATTATTGAGACAAAATAATAATAACATAAGCTAACAAATCACACAGTCTCTCACAGTCAAAATGTTTATGAGATGTAACCTTACCCAACCTAAACACTTGACAATTCTGAAGCTCTAACTGCCTTATTTTAACTATAACTTTAATCTACTGAGGGTATTGGTTGTTTTAAACGGTTTTAAATGTGTATTGGTTGTCGATTGTAGTTTTGATTTTATTGGACTTTGAACATACCAGTTAACATTTTTCTTATTGGATTAAGCCCTATCCAGACAATAAATATCATCTATAATATGCATATAATTAAAATAAAAGTCTTTATTTTTCTAAAACGGGTAAGATACATGAAAATAACAGAAAAGGCTGGGCTTAAACTCTCGACCGTCAGTTTTAAATGCATTTGAGAGTAATTGTCGCCAATATAAATATTCTTCAAGGTGGATAAACTATGGAGGAAGTATATTGCGTTAATGAAAAGATTGCAATATTCTGTATCCTATTTATTAAATATTTTGTTATTTACATCAGTCTGTCTGCTAGTCTGAAACTAATATTGCTTTTATGCTGAAAGAGAATGGATTCTGTTACATGTTCATATTAAACAATTTATCAATAGAGAATTTCATATTAATAAAAAAGACATTCGTAACACTTCATGCTGCAGTTGATCTAGAGATATTTCTTTGTATCTGGGAAAAAAATATATTTAAAATTCGATCATGCGTGCCTTTAGTCGTTATGTTACTTTATGTTTGTTGCTATTGGAGAGTGTAGAAATGCACTATGCTGTGTATATAAAATATATGTAAACAATTATCCATTATGCAACCATTGTGATATTTAACCTGAAAAAATACTGATTAGTTTAAGGTATATTTAAGTATTGAAATATAAGCTGTTGATCGTAATACTGATGCCAAAAGAACAAGTTTAATGGTGCATGCATATGTATTGTTATTAATAATAAGAGTACTTATTTTAACTATTATTTCGATAAAACTGGGTTATACTCGTAAAATGACGCGCATAATTGCCCGCTCAAATGAAATCAGTGATGCAAATTAAGATAAAAACTAGTCAACCAAATACTTCCTATTACTAACATCATAATTTAGATAATTAAATGTAAATTAGGTTGTCATAACGTCAGCTACCTCAAAGCGGACTATTAACGTATGCAGTATTCACGTCGAATCTATCATTGCTATAGAAATGTTTTAAACATTATTTCGTATAATATTAATTGGTCATAATACAAATGTAATACAATTGTACTTCTTACGGTTTGTTTAACAAATGAACAGAAACAAAAGCAAGAAAAAACAAAAACACACAAAAAAAAATACAAAAAAGAACAAAAAACTAGAAGGCCATTATGGTCACCTGAAATACATAGTTTATATTTGGTACATTTTCTTTTGCTATTTGGTAGAGCTTCATGCTAGAAACATTGCAGTACATTTTCATTCAATTTAACCTTAAGGTTCAAGAATGGAATTCGCGTGACAAAAGTTGGCGACGAACGCTCGTAAGCATTGATAGACGCCGGACATCAGAAAAGTTCACATTGAGCACTTTATGTTCTAGTGAGATAAAAACACAAAATACACAATGTACTAGTATCTCAGTTCTGTTTAATATAGGAACAATTTGAATGAGAGCTTAGGTTGATAAGGTTAATGCATGTCTCATAATTTCTCAAACGTTTTTTTAATGCAATTACGAATATATCATTTAATATTCAGGAAACGCAAAATATGACAAAATAATATTCAAGTCGGGTACCTTTATCGTTAACGACTACTAGTATTATCCTTGACACGTAGAACAGTAAAAGAAAAGCAATGTGCTTTCTAAGGTACAGTATCGTAATTATATTGGACACTTCAAATTTATGCAATGCATCAGACATGACTACAACTATTTCACGTATTTAGAATATAGTTCATTTTGATAAACATGATAAGGCCAATATTGATTTTAGCGAAGTGATATGTCATATGATCATGCTGTGCCACAAGACCAATGATATAATTCCAAAACATAACCAATAAATATCTATATATTGACTGCTAATATTTCACGTTTATCGGCTTTCTCTCTATGAATTTTTACGCACGCGTAAATAGCTAAGAAGGAATGGTCATCTGTGCTCACCGAAAGAATTGTGTCTGTTTAGAACTGCACAGTTGTAGAAATTAAAGGGGAATCATTATAACACGATAATTTCATTTCATTGCACTAGTAGTACTCGTGTTTTATACTGTGACATGAAGGGTACGATTCTGTTAATGTCATTTTGCACCAGGAATCCGACACTATGTATCTTATTATATATCGACAGAGCTGACAGCGCGTAATGGTTAATCATAATATCTTTGATATTAATCAATTTTATCTCAATTAAACGATATATAAACATTTAATAAGCAAAAGACCAACGATAGAAAATCAAATTTGAGTATAAGCATAGTATACATGTATCAGACCCGTTACCAAATGTAACCAAAATAAAGTAATACTACACGTGTGGCCTCGCTTTGCTATATAAAAAGCGGCTATTAAAAGTTTTGAAGTCGCACAGTACCATCCGAAACATCTCAAAAGAAACAATTACAAAACTGTTAAATATGTTAAATTCAATTTCTTCAAATCAAACTTATTTTTAGTTTCTAAAAGTAAACAAACGGATAGATTGAAAAATTCAGATGTTTTATTACAATCCAATGCAACATCATCGCGTTTCTTTCATGTGAAACCCTTCGCCTTTAGGTGGAGACACAACGGTGGTGGTGGTAGTGATAGTGTTTACTCCGGATCACAGAAGTTAGCCACATTGAATTTACCAGTGCACAGTTCAGCCTCCGCATCGTACCTGAGCAGGCTGTCAAGCAGTTCGCCAGGCCTAGTTGCCTTCGCTAAGAACTGATTACTTCTGTAAATGCAAGAGCAGGGGTACAGTGCGAATGACCGTAGTAGGAATTTCATGATAATTCACAACGAAAGTGACCTGCGCCATCCGGGAATTGAGCTTTGGACTGTAAATCGGGCGATCCGGTCACGATTCATGGACGGTGCAGGTCCCTTTCGTGGTGACACAGCGCACTTACCTTTGCTATTTATAGATGGTTTGACGAATGATTTAATTTTAGCCTTTTCCACGATAATAAATCTTGGTAAAATGCAGACAGTTTCACAGTCCATTATTAGAATACGGAGAAAAGAAAAAAATTGTCTTTCAATTCATTTGGAGAAAAGTGTAAATAAAAATGTTTTGGACCAAAGCAAGAAATTTTAAATTGGTGCTAAAAGAGTATACAGTTGATGAATGTGAATGTTTCTTTTTTGTGACGACTCGCAAAGTAAATTGTTTCATTCCGCAGTAAATCATGCGTCTATTTCAAAATCCTAAAAGACTCGAATTATCTTAATAACAATTCATATTAAAATGTAAAAAAAACATGTTCGTTTGAATAGAGTGTGTTACAGTTAAATGATCTTTTCCTTCAAAAATGTGTTCGCAAAAAGAAATATTACCGTCACACAAACCCAAAACGGGCCTTTTTTATACTCAGAATTTACGTTGCTGCGAGACATTCTATTATAAAATGTATATATGTGAAAATATATGTGATTATACAATTGTAAAGAAGTTAAAACTTTAAATTATTTCACGAAAAGTTTTAGATTATCAACTCAAGAAAAATAAACTTTACCTGAAATTAATTGTAAACCGCAAAGGGCATTGTATGTATAAATCAAGTAACGGGTATCTGCTTAAATCTTTTCACAAGTACTTAATGTTTATTATTACTGTCTTTCATTTTATTCATTCCGGGTTAACGATGAAATCTGATGAATCGAACAGCAAATCGGACGTCTACAAGAGGCATGATATTATCCAAGACGTACACTTGTTATTATAGAGTGGTTTCACAAATTCGCCGCTAATAATAAATTGAACTGACAGATGATATTTCATGTTCAACGTGAACATTTTAAATATGTATAGCGCAGAA